TGAAAGCCAAACCGGATAGAGAACATCATCGTTGAGAATTGCCTGCAAAATGATGGAAAAAGTTGACAATTTCAATTTTCGTCCGGAATTTTGGCATGAAACTATTCTAAAAAATAATATAACCATTTTTCAAGAGTGATCTAGTTAACCTCAAACAGATCATCCTCATTGTCGGCTTCAAAGGGTGGTTGACCAGCCATCATTTCATACATTAATACACCAAGCGCCCACCAATCTACTGATACACCGTATTCTAATTCTTGTAGAATTTCAGGCGCGATGTAGTCGGGTGTTCCTGGAATACACTTTTTAACTTTAGTAAAATACGTTGTAGGACCACTTTATCTTGAAATTACAGTAACATGAAAGCAAGCAGTTTGATCCTGGTTTCAAACCCCAGTTTTTCAGAAACTTACCACAAAAAGTGCTGGTAAGATTATCCTTGCTAATTCCTTCCTTGCACATACCAAAATCGGCTAACCTACAGTGACCCTCAGCGTCAAGAAGAATGTTGTCCAGTTTTAGATCTCTGCAGAAGACAAAATAGTGAAATGTGGGTGGATGAAAGAGTTTGCGACGCAACAACCTGTAGATGACTTCATTTCGATGAAGAAACTGTAGCGCACATGTGACTTCAGCAGCATAAAAGCGAGCTCTTGGTTCGTCAAATTTTCGAGCTCTCTGGATTTGGAACATCAAATCGCCTCCGTTTACATACTCCATCACGAAAAAGAGGCGATCCTAGAAAAAAAAAAGCTGATTACTACCTTGATCTATGGAGTCCTGGATCATACCTAAGGCAACCGCAGCAATCGATATTAGATTTTGTTGATGGGTCAATATGTCGATTTTTCCACAATTTCTTTTTATTACACCGAGCGGTAGTGCATATGAACGTTTATTAAATCTAGTAATTATTTTTCAGATATCAACTTATTGACTTGCTCATACGCTCTCTTAACTCCCAAAGTGATAAAAGCTCGTTCATATGTCAATCATCCTTGAAGAAAGTATCAGTTTAGTGATTTTCTAGCAGACTCAATTTGATTTGTTGTAAGAAATTACATGTACAATGGGTCCCAAAAAATGAGACCACTGTTTAATTACTTGTTTGCACTAACCCTTATCTTTAAAAAAGCTAGCTGGAACTTAGATATCCATTTTTGAGCAAAATTTTATACCTCCTTCATACGATAGAGTTATGATGCAAAGTTGTATTTAAATTCGGTGACGAGGTAGAGCACTAAAGGGAATGATCCAAAAGTTATAGATATGCTAAGACCTTCTGAGGATATTCAGGTAGCAATTTTCCAGCCACTTTATTTCGCAAGCTTTTGTGGGCAGCGCTAAAGGACTCACGATTTTACATCGTAATGCTTCGTAATAACAAAAACCATCAAGACAAAAGGAGATTCAAAAAGAAAAGAGTTATTAACGATTCAATGATGATTTGAAACCTGTAGATCGATGCAGAAACTGACGAGAGTAGCTTTACGTAAAGACCCCTATTTACCATGTTTACAAATTTTTCAAACTCTACATCTAAGCAACTCACTAACCCTTAAGGTTTTCGATTCTATTTTCCTGAGATAAAGTTTGGTTTGGCCTGTTCTAAATTTCTGTAGTTTAACTCACCGGAGTCTGAAAACTACTGTGCAACGCTGTGAGGAATGGGTGTTTCGCCGCTAAGCTGAGAATCCGTTTCTCACACATCGTGCATTCCACATCGTCATCTTGCACGATCACATCTTTTTTGAGGATTTTCACAGCATATACTTCATCTGAGCCCTTTCTCTCGGCTAGCATCACCTAAAAGCAAGCTTTCCTAAGTCTAA